GTAAGCTGCTTTTCCTCTCCCATCCGCCCGCTGGCCTCCATCTTCCTCCCCTCCTCTTCCTCCTCCAGGGCCACCGCAGCATCTTGGCCTGCCTGAGCGCGGCGGTCGGAGCATGCGGGGAGGGAGAGCCGCTGGACCCGCGCTGCTGCGGGTTCCCGGCGGCTCTGCGGAGGTTCGGATGCGGGTCGCGCTGCGGCCCGGAGCTTTTCATGCTGTGAATACAGAGTGTGCTGCAACCCGTAATGGAGGCTGTGCGGTGTGAACGGATGCTGCGTGGCTGCAGTTTGGACTCTTTTTATTCTGATTATTTGCGGGATTTCCGCCTCTGATGGCGGATTTGAGCGGCTAGACGTCAAGGCCCAGCTCCGCCGCTCCGCGCGGGTTTTTCTCCCCTCATGCAGAGCTGCATGCATCACGGCTGGAAACGCACCCATCCGAGCTAATTCTAATTCGGGCCGTGCGTGATGTGCATGCGTGTGAGGAGGAGGGACGGAGGAGGAGATCTGACCGACAGGAGGAAAAATGCAGATTTTCTGTTTTCTACACCGAAAGAGGCCGCATCCGGCAGCCCGCCGCCTCCCTGATGGAGAGCCGCGGGAATGTGGAGGAGGATGGATGGATGGATGGATGGATGGATGGATGGATGGATGGATGGATGGATGGATGGATGGATGGATGGATGGATGGATGGATGCGGCTTTCCTCGTGCTCCTGCTCGTGTGAAGGTGGGAGGGGGCGGTGGGGAGGCCTTCGTTGGAAAGCCTCACCCATTTTATGACTGTGCGCCTCTGCGCCGGGTGAGAGCGGCGCTTTGACGCGCGGGCGGCGCGGCGCGATGCGGCGTTTCTGGATCGCCTGGAGCGAACAGCTGATGCTGGCGGTTTGGGCGGACCAATAGGTGGGAGGGGGCATCACGTCAAGCAGTCATTCTGCTGCAGCTCCACGCGTGTCCCCCTCCCCTGTGGGTTCTTCCAGGTTGGGATGATCTGAGTTCAGCAGTAATTGCAATTTTGTTGCATTTCTTCTTCATCCCCTGTCTCACCGTCAGGGTGGGGGGATGACGGAGGGCAGAGGGGGATCAATAACCTCTGATCGGTAAATCAGCAGCTGGATGTGGAGCTGATCTGAATGAAAGAGGCTCAGCAGAGTTTACCGCACTGCCGTCCTCAGCAGCTTCTCTCATCTTTCATTTCATTTCTTCTTCTTCTCCAGTAATCATCTTCCAAGCTTTGCTTCTTTTTCTGAGCTCTAAATTAAAAGTCCAGTTGGGAAATTTCCTCTGTGGATTCCTCTACTCTTCATTCCTCTGATCAGCTTTGACTTGAAATATTTCACCTGGAGATATAAAAAACCTCATTGGCTTTCCAAACCAAACCTGGAAAAGTTGAACCAGGAAATCATCAGGCTGCTGCTGAACATACCGGAGTGGAAAGGTCCTCGGTTTGGTTCAGACTTTACTCAACAATAAACTGTCCCAGCAACAATTGCAATAAACATTATTGTTGTTTTGAGACTATTGCAAGTAATATATTGATAATAACAGCAAAAATAAATAAATTAATTAAAGCAAGTATGTCCTGTCAAAAACAAAAAAACTTTAATTCAGTAAAAAACTTGCAGACACACAACAACATTTTCTGGAAGATTTGGGAAAACAATCAGGTCAAGGGTCAAAAGACATTAAGCTTGAAAAATAAGTCTAATCTATGGTTTCCAAATGTCAGATAATCCGGTGGCAGGAACCAAAAGAAGACGTGAAAGTGAAATATATACATGTGGTCATTTGTTTACTTTGGGGAAAAGGGACAGAGATCAGGAGGATTTCGCTACGATTTCCTCACAACTCAGTCATGCTGACTTCGGCTGCAGTGTTGCAGTAAAACTTTGCTGTCCAACCAAAGTCTGCAGCATGTAGAGTTTTTTCCTGCTGCGTCTCCACACAGCATGAAGAGGAGACAGACAGAAACTCTCAAAACTGGAACTGGAAAATATTTTAAACATCCAACATGAAACACGACATTCAGAAACAAAATGCCAAGAAAGCCCTACTTCCAACCAAAACCATAAATAAAACAGATTATAAAAGAATCCCTTCAAAAAGTGACCATCAGCGTGGAAATGACAGAGCTCATTTAATTGATGCGATTAATTGATTGCTTATTATCAGCCTCAGTTTAGCTTTACTTGGTGTTCTGCTCCCAGGATTCAATTGACAATTATTTTAGTCATCAATTACTTCATTGATTATTATGATGATTAATCCATCATTAGAGGTACTAATTATGCCAATGAATCAATTGCCACAATAAGACATGATTCTGTTCATTACTTAGCAGCATTCCATCTGCAACTAAAACATCCTTCTGGCATTAAAGCTCAGGCCTTTCTGCTCCACTGAACATCAGTACAGGGGAGAGATTATTTGGGATTATTTTATGGATTAAATGATTGATTACTGGACAGAAAAAGGAAATTAATGCAGGATTTATTTGGACAGCCTGAATAAAACTGCTCTGAGTTTGTTATTTTGACAGAAAATAAAATTCTTTCTTAATCTTGAACTTTTTTTAGCTGATTAAATGAAGAGCTGCAGAAAAGTTCACCGCTTCTGGTGTCTGGCAGAGAAACTTCATTTACAGACATTTACTGATGTGCTTTTCCTCCCGTCCAGCCCAACATGAATCAGATTCTCTGGACTCATCGTAGTTTTATTGATTTTCGTTCCATCTTCGTTAGGTTTCTCTCTCATAGTCAGGTTTTCCTCTGCAATTACTCACTTTTACTCCTTCATACACATTCCCCTCTTTGTTAATCCATTTATTCGCTCATTTTTGTCTTCCTCATGAATTTTTCTTTTTGTCTTTGAACTTACTCATCCCATTTTTTCCTTTTTCACCATTTCACACCCAGTCATTCCGCTTCATTAAATAAATTTGTGTTTAATTTCTATGCTCTGCTGTTGTGAAGCACTTTGTTTCACTTTTCACAGATAGAATTACAAATGGACTGAATAGTTTAAAGCCACATTCATCCAGATACAGTCAGTACACAACTCTGTGTTAGCTTCTTTGCCCAGAGGCAGATATATATAGCAGGAGGAAGCTGAAATTAAACCCACAACTTTCCCATAGGGCCACTAAAGTTACAGAGCAAGGCTAAAAGTGGAAAATAAAACCAAAAGTCTGGCATTAGCACATGTTAGACACCATTAAACATTGATAAAATAATTAAAATTTCACTTTAATTAATGTTGATTAACTGGTCGCTATGTCTGACAGTGTCATGCTAAGTTGAAGGGTTTTGTAAGTGTTGTAATTATGGGATGAGTAGGGCAAATGTAAGAGTTACAGCATGCATTAGAGCTTTGTAAAATAGACGTTGCCTTGATTGCTATATCAAACATTGCTCCTTAAAACATCAATAGTCGTCTTATTAATAATTGATTTGCTGTTTTTGCTGGTTGCTGCAGCTGCATGTCGACAGTATTTTAAAGAGCTGGAAACAATATCTGTGCACATGGAGCGACAGACGGATCGTTTGTGTTTGTTTGCAGCAGAGTGCGTGATCACATATCCTGTTTCATTTTCATTGACTAAAACGGGGGGAGTTGGAACAGGGGCTGGGCGGTCTGTGCTGGGACAAAACTCACTGGTGATGGATGGATGCTGACTTTGTTATCAACTCTGAAGACATTATCCTGACATAAACTGAGTTTTCACACTGAAATATTACAAGTTTTCTGGTGGTCCCACAACATGTCAAGACCCCACAAGGTAGCTATCTATGTGCTGAGCCCTGAACCACACATAAACAAGTACAGAGGTGTAAGTTCAATACAACTGATGTGTGCCTTTCTGTTTCCAGATATTTTATAGTTATGTCCAAGTACCATCAAGCATGATGATGCCGTCAGTCCAACTTAAATAATTAAATTAATCATTCCTTAAAATTTAAGCTTTAATTTTCAATTCCATTTTATTTCATGATAGCTAATTTTGTGAAATTAAATTAAACTCAGTTCATCTAATTTTAATCATGCTTGGTCAAATTTGGAACAATGCAAATGGGTGCCATTTTATGGTATTTCTAATATTGTATAAAAATATGGGTGGGTAAGTGAAAAACATGCAAAATGTTCACATTTTCCTCCAATTAATCAATCAAAATAATTGATTCTTAAAATAATCATTAGTTGCAGCGCAAAATCCAATGAAAATGAACCATTCCAGCTTTTTGCTCTATTCTTAAGTGATTCAGTTTATCGATAAACAATCCAATTCAATCCATTCATAGCTCAAATTATTTCAGAAATAATTTAGTTTAAAACATTCTAATAAAACATGATGAAAAGTCAACTTGTACAATATTTGTACAAAATAATTTACTATTGTGCAGTTCCATTGCATTCTTTTTCCATGATGACAATTTTTAAATGTAATCATCTCAGTTTGTTTGATGGGGCTTATTAAAAAGGGATAATATTTTAATAATTTTAATTATTTAAAGTTCAATTAATCACAGTGCAGATTTTAAACATCTGAAAGCTGAATTAGAGTTTGAACGATTATATATCAGACTGGTCCAGATCCTTGCTGGGTTCAGGCGACAGCAAAGCAGCCCCAGGTGATGAGAGCAGCACCGTTTAATGATGACGATTAAAAACTAAAGCTGGAGAATATCTGAGGTAACGCGAAGCATCCTGACCACATGAGGAAACAAACGGCTGAAAATGTGATCTCACCCTGTCAGTGTCTCCAAGCCAGCATGTTTTCAACCCAGGACTCGTTTTTCTTTAGTTTCTGGTTTTTACTTCCTGTAACTTGTAAAGACACATTTACATCAAAATGCAGTGGATCAGAAAAGCTCAACAAAAAGGCCTCTGCAGAATTTTCCTGACATAGTTGGATGACTCAGAAGAGTGTAAAGCTGATGGTTTTGCATTTAGACCTGTCCGACAGGATGGACCAGCATGAAGGCAGCAATCCAGTCAAAATCACAGC